CCTGCAGAGTCGTATTTGAGTTGGCTAAGCAGCAGAAATTCACCTCTGGGCTTACGGCTCAGCCACTTATAGAGAAAAATGCAGCCAAAACCGGCTTTGTCCTTTAGGGTAGAAAAAAGGAATTTCTTATGTGTGCTTGCTGAAAAATAACTAATTGAACTCTTATCTCCACTGTGTGATCTAATGTCATTTTTACTTCCAGAGATTGTGTCATTTTGGTGGTGGATCTGGAAACACCACATTGGATATATAAGTAAACACATTTTGTTTTTTCAACTCTATGAAACAACCTAGTACCATATTGAGGCTTGCCCACAACATTGACTCTGATCCCAACTGTGTCCTGAACAGCAAATATGAACTGTTACAATCAAATCAGTCCCAACATTTAATAATGTTAGAATGAAGCTCTCTCTTGGGCACCAGCCAATCCTAAAATTAAATACAGAGTCTAATCCAAGATCAATTGTATATTAAAGGGTCTTGAACATATTCTCTCCAGTGATTGTAAGGTTTTGTTAAATGTCTGTTTCCTTGTTTCTTGTCTCACATATTGGTCCTTGTTGTTGCAAATGTAGCTGCTGTGATGCAAACCAATTTAGAATGGATATGACAATTAAGTCATATGATTCTGTATTATTGGTTGGCAGACATTCTGCTTGAAAAAGATAAACAAGTATAATCAGGTTGCAATGGCCAGGGTTTATCACACAACTCAGACCAACACACTGAAAAAAGTCAAGAACACAATGACCTGATTTCATCTGTCAACGGCATCCTAGTTAGCACTGCTGTCTGTGGATACTGTGGGTTACTATGAGAGTGAAAATGTCCAGGCAGGTGCCAAAATAGCTTCCATGTGTGAATACGGATGTACATGCATAATATATGCTGTATGATGTCTCTGTATCTAATTTGCTTAATGTAGTGGAACCTGAATTAGACATGGAAGGCGGTGAATCATACTCTCCTTGCGTGCTTTTTCCATTAGAAAGGGACAGGAATAGTTTTTTTTGTGCATTTCATGGTTAACATTGATGTCATGACAATCATGCTAGAACGTGTCCATACAAGGTCCACTGTAGTTTACTCCACATGGATCCATGCAACCTGACAGATGGTTGACTGAGCTAAGCTGTAGCGGTGCTATGCCACTGCCAGTTTCATTACAGGGGTTCACTTGGACATGGGACAAGTGTAGATGTGTCTGTCGAGCCCACGGAAGGCAGTGATAACGAAGAAATTCAGACACAATTTGACAAATGAAAACAGAACACATAATCAGAGGCTATAATGTACGTCACATTGACGTGCATTGAAGAGAGTGTGATAAACATATTTGGAAATGACTTCAGAAGCACTTATTCTTGCTGCTTAGTGTTTGCTAAGATGTAAGAAAGGCACAGAGCGGCTATCAAAAGGAAATGGTGAAAGGAGAAACCTATTAGTCTAAAACAAAGAGTAAAGATAGTGGAGTATCTATTCAATGGAAAACATGACTCATGTTTGAGATTGCAGGAAACAAAGCTTGATAAAAAGTAGGAGAAATGGTCATTATTCAGGAATCAAACCTGAGACGAAGAATACGAAAAGAATAGTGACTTAGCAGAAGGAACTGCAACTGCATTTTCTTTTTGTATGTATATACGTGGCTATATTGTACTGTTGTTTTTCTGTGTGAGTTCACTGCTCCTAGTACTAGACTCCTAGGACTAGGATGGGTTAAATGCAGAGGACAAATTTCACTGTGTGTGCTGTGTGCTCTGCATGTGTGACCATTAAAGAGGGTTTCATCCCTCCAATTCGATCTTCTATCTATTCTATGTACAGCTGTTTAGGGAGGCTGTGGCTCAGTGGCTAGTGTGCTGGTCTTCAAATCAGGGGATAGCAAGTTTGAGTCCCACTGCAGTCAGCATGTCGTTGTGTCCCTGGGCAAGACACTTCACCCCAAATTGCTCCTGTGGGGATTGTCCACAGTATTGAGTATGTAAGTCGCTTTGGATAAAAGCGTCTAACAAATGACATGTAATGTAATGTTTATTTGACACGTTAATGATTAAAAACAATATCAACAAAATTAGAAAAATAGTTGTCTACCAATTGAAGGGTTGGTGGTTTAATCCCCAGCCCCTGCGTTCCATATGTTGAAGTGTCCTAAGACAAGATACTCAACCCTTAATTGCGTCAGCTTATTGAAATGTAATGTAAGTGGAGAAAAAACTAAACAAAGACACGGAGCATAACATGGCATTACATGTGGGTGAGGTTGGAAAAGACTCATATTATGTCTCAACAGGAACATTTAGTCTACATATGATCTTGATAAAGGGAAGGAAAGGAAAATATGAGAGAAAAGCGTGTGCTGGCGGTCGGCCAGGTGTGGAGAGACTCAGGAAGTTGAGCCGGAATTCCAACAATGCAGGCGGTTGACTCTTCACTGAGACGCTGCCATTTCTGCCCTCACTGCCGTCTTTGTTGTGGCGGGGAGGAGAAGGAGGAGGCAGTTAGGTGAAGTCTTGTGGATGTGAATAAATTCTGCCCTTTTCATTGTAAACCTTGACTGATTTGTGAATGATAGGAAAATAATGACACAGTTAACCAGATAAAAAAACAGTCCTCTCTCGCTTTCTGTCTCTCCCTCTGTCTTTTATATCTACAGAGAAAGATCATTTCTTCCAAGGCGGTTTTATTCATGCCGTGTCATGACTATAATAAATGCCAGTGATGGCAGGATGAATGATGTCTTAGCTAAAAATGATCATAGCCAAGGAAGAACTTGACACTTAATTATACCATTGTTATAAATAGCAAGACATGCTAAATAATATCCACCGCCTTCATCTAAAAATCACATTATAAATGTACAACATACAGTATGATTTCAGTTGAATTTTTATGATTTTATGTTTCCCATTAAATTGTGCTTGAATCTAATTAACGCGCCATAATCACTACCCCGAAGAAAATAAAGAACTAAGGAAGGCAGTGTGTAATAATGTGCTTAAGCATCCACTGTTTCAGAAGATTGCAACAGCGAAAGAGTGTTTGGATTTGCAATCAAAACTAATCATTCACAAAGGAGAGCTCCATTAATCTGGTAGACTGCGGATGGCAGCTCGTCTTTTAAGAGTGTTGTTTTGATGAGGATTTTCCCTCCAGCCTCCTCTCTGTTTCTAAAGGATTCTCTGTTGTTCATCTTTTATTTCAGAGCTGTAATGACTGTCTTCAGTACATCTATCATCTGACAGGCTTTAACATCTCCGAAGTCTGCTTCGCTAATAATGCAGTCACTCCCAATGGCACCTTTAATGTGGGCTCTGGATCTACTAAAAAATCATCTCAAGCTCTTTTTGAATAATATTACTTCAGGTGTTTCCTACCCTGATCTGGAATCCAGATTTATTTTGCAATCAAAAGTGTTCCTTTTATGTAGATATCATGTATTTTACTATCTCAAGAGAGTTCACCTGGCCATTTGGGCTTTGTTTGATGCTCCATTGGGGATCTGGCTGCAGATGAAACCCAGCTGTTGGCAAGTGAGAAACATTTGTGCTTTATCAGTGAGCTGACAAATTGGGCGTTGCAGAGATGGGGGATAGATTATCCCGACATGCGCCTGGGCCCAGAAAGCCCAGCTGAAATAAACAGCTCTATTTCCTGCTCTGTGACGGCTGGATGAAGAGATGGTGGTTATACTGATGGTTAGAGGGGGTCTCCCAAACCACAGAGCAGAAAGAAAAACACGGGGAAGAAAAACAATCCCATCTGACATCATAGGAAAGGCTGCTGCTGAAATTTAGGTCAAGATATAGCCTGCTTGAAGTGTGCCAGATAGTTATATGGCACATTTTTGTTACTAACGCCTTTTCCAAATGTGACATAACAAATCAAAAGCATATTCTATTCAATAAAGTTTAACTAATTATCATAGCCTGCCAAACCAGGATAGGAGCATCTTTCTTTTTTGAAGCCCCACTGACGACTAAATATTTTCCGTGACTGAAATAGCTGCAGTATGGGTGGCGGTTTTAGAAACCAACGAGAGGTTTCAGACCATTTAGAGGGCAGCAGCTTCAGCAAAGTCATCAACTATGTACACAGCATGGGATGTTGTGATCTCCCAAATACTATCCTTCAATGTTAAGTCACTGTATTCACAGCTTGTACTTCACCATGGGCATCAAGCAGCACAGATGTTGACTTCCTGGAGTGTAAACGCTTCAACTGACCCCTGTTGGAAGTTCAGACTGGACCAGGGAGGGAGAAACATTAATAATGTCCTCATAGTAATGTGATAGGGACAATAAAACAATACGTTTAAGCAGCAAGGATGTATTGATCCTATTGAACTACTACATAAATGGATGGATGGATAGATAGATAGATAGAAATAGATAGATAGATAGATAGATAGATAGATAGATAGATAGATAGATAGATAGATAGATAGATAGATAGATAGATAGATAGATAGATAGATAGATAGGCCTAGATAGATAGACAGACAGACAGACAGACAGAGAGACAGATAGACAGATAAATATAAATATAAATATATATATATATATATATATATATATATATATATATATATATATATATATATATATATGTGTGTCTAAATCAGCAATTGGAACATGTATGATTTGTACAGTATCATATCATACACATACACTTAAGGAAAAGTATAAAGGAAATAACATGTCAATTATATAGGCTAAACGCTTCCGAATACATGCACATCTACTGTGCTGAAATGCATAGGAGACATGCTAAATTATTTGTAGAAAGCAGTGGAAGCCCAATAAACACTGCGTGTGTGTGTAGTGCATTATGATGATCGCTGACTTTAATACTACACTGCTGTATCTCTGAATTTGTTGTGGGCATCGAGAAAGTGCAGTGCTTGAGTAAAGAGGAGGGGCGAGAGAGCATGCGGACCTATGGAGAGAGAGAGAGGCGGTTCAGCCCCGCTGTGGTGTCAGCAGCAGCGGCTTAGAGGCTAGTGCTACACCACTGTGTTGTGCAGGAACAGGCACGGCATAGCTGAAAACCGCCAGCGGAACAAATGAAAACGAAAACTACACTCTTTCATGTGGATTAATTCAGGGGCGAGACACCCAATCGAAGCGAGGACCTCTTAGGGGGAATTTGGACCGACTGAGGAAGGATTGGGACATTAGCTACTGTGCGATAACACCGCCGAATGGTTTCTCCTGCCCCGCCGCTAAGGTTAGTTAGCTTCCATTGCTGGCTGTCGGTTGGTTTGGGGAGGGAGGGGGGGGTCTGTGTGTTCTGTTGTTGGACGACGGGGTACGGCTATTCTTTGGATGAGAAACATACATAGCAGTATTGACCTTTTCCAGGCTATCCGTTACCTTAAAGCTTAACGTAACGTCGAACCTTTGGAAAATGTAGTCATTTTTCCAGGAACAGTTTATCCAGCCGGTTACTCACCACACCACAGTGCTCATAGTTTGCTGGCTATTGTCAGTTAGTTGATTATTTGATATAAATCATGAACACGTGCTACATGGCTAGGCTACGTTAGCTAATAGCTAACGATGTTAGCTGTATAAGCTAGCTGTCACAACAGCCGAATAGCTAACGGCATTTTCATTTCAACTGAATAAGCTTCGTTACTGTGTAGAACGTTAAGCACACTTCCCAGCGCACAACACTACCAATGTTCTCGTGATACGTTATGTTAATTGCCTACTAAGTGTCAATAATGTAAAGTTTTTGTTATACTGTGGTATCAGGCTAACTGAGCTAGCATGCTAAGTTGGCACGCTAATAGAAGCGCCCGGTTTGTAAACATTGGTTTTACATGAAGTTGACTTAGTGCGCTCTGCTGATAGCTTATCTAACGTTAGCCTGGTAACGCTTTGCTTTGTTGTCAGATGGGTGATAAGCTATGATTTCATGTCACTGACACACGTTAAAAAGGGCGTTAGGTGAGTTAGCGTTAATGGTTGGTTTGTTTTGTGACAGTAAGGTTTTGCTGGCTTTGAGTTGAATCTTTTTTTTCTACCAATATGATTTCTACCTTTATTTTGATCCAGCTTCTGTAAATATCCATACATTTTAGCTAATGATAGTTATCCACCTGTAAACAAGTGTTGTTGTAAGAGGCAGTCTGATTTTATAACTGAGCATAATGTTATCATACTTCTAAGAACTGTCACGTTGTTGACATATTTCATAGAACAACCAAACCCTCTTGTGAAATGCAAAGGTACCTCCCCCTGAGTGAGGTGATCATTAACATAAACAGAGTTAACATGTGTGTTGTTGTGGAAACAAGCGGATGTCTGTTTTTGTCAGCTGCCCAATAATCTCCACCACCTCCAATCAGATATGCATTTAACTTGTTAGCTGTCACTCAACAGTTTGAGAACATTTATTTGCTCTATTATAGCTCTAGGTGACAGCATATAAATTGGGACACAGCCAAATGTGGATTTAGTAAACAAAGACTTGATTTGTATGTACCTACATTACAAATTACACCAACATCCACATTCATATTAGGAAAACACTATACTCATACATTGTAGCCACATTCGTACATTGAGCCATAACCCTTCACTTATTTTTTGTGGGAAATAACACTGTTCTATAATAGTTACAATAGACACAACACTAGGGAGTTTTATATGTATAGTGCCCAGCTTTGACATGGTGTAGTTTGATCTGTGCCTTGTTGTCTAGTTCTTCAAAGCTTATTTTTGTTAAAGACTTTTAAGCGGTGAAGATGGTTTTAATGTCAGACTAGGACATATCATACCTTCTTAAAATCTGAAAGATATTAAACATTTTCTGATGTTAGGGGACGTGGTCTTTGTTTCAGGAGAAGCAGTCCACGTCTGATGTATGATAAAACTAAGAAACCTTGAAACCATAACTGCTTTATGTTGCTGCAACACAACACTCTAGCCAACTAGTATACGGTTTTTTATTGTGAAACAGTTAAACATTCCTGAAGCCTTAGTCAATAACATTATAATGGAGAATCCAAGCAACTTGTCATATGTACACAGCACACCATGACATTTAGACCGTGCATTTAAGCCATTCTAGTATCACAAGGAGTAGGCATATACCAACCAAGTTCCCTTTACCTTGTGGACATTTGGTATAAGGGGTGCGCATTAAGTACAAATGATTTGTACTTTTAGTAGTTTACATCAACAACCTAAGTTTAGCATAGGCTTTGTGCTCATTTAATCTTTGTTTAGTGAAAGAGTTAATGGGAATTAAACCTATAATAACTACTGTTTTTGCCACTAAGAGGCAGCAGACCTTTTAAGGTGGTATGGCGAACCTGGTTACATCTAGTAGTAATGGTGCAACATTAGCAATCCTTTGAAATTGTGTTTCTGGAAAACTAGAGGCTGTCTGTCAAATATTCAATATGTTGGCTGTGTTCCTGGTCTCTACAGGAACACAACCCTGGAGAGATATATTTGACTGTTGAGCTGCTAAATGCTCGAATGCTTGTTTACTAGCTAGTTTTCACAGCTTTTTCTTGCCTGCTGCCGCTGAAATCAACACCCTAACAGCGGTGAGAGGGATTTACAAAAGCAGTTAAAACAGGCTAAACAATTAGCTAAAAATAGCAAAGAAGATGTTAAAGCTGCAGGTTCTGGTGCTAACTCTGTAGATTCATCATTGTTATTATAAACATAGGGATTACAGCTAATATATTTCTGATGTAAACACGGAGAAGAAAAGGTGGAAGTTCTGGGCTCCACAAAACTGGTAATGTTAGCTGTTCACATTAGAAACCACCTCATCACTAACTACACTGAGGAAAAGGGACAGTTATCAATTTGATGGGTGTTTTGATATTTACCCTTCTGAATGTTTACATCTTTATCCAAACATTGATTTGAGATATTACCCTTACATTTGTGTTGATACTGTTTCTTGTTTATATGTATTTGTGTAGGTCGAGTACAAACCTTAGAGCCTTTATTTCATTTTGTAAGTGTGTACTTATTGGGGTGATGTTAAATATGAAGTTTATTTCTTAAAAGCCAGGCTTCTGAAATGCATAAGTATTTACTGCTGTCTTAGCAGAGACTGCATAGAAAATGTTTGCCTTAATAGGTGAAAAAATCTGAAAATCTGACCGAAGAATCGGACAAATCTTTTGTGTTTGGGTACTTGACAGACTGGGTAATTTGTTGTGTAGTTTGTAGTACAACATACAGTATTCAGGTATTATGTCATGATGCCTTGGGACGGTGTGGGTATATGGTGTGTAGCCTAGAGAGCGTAAAGTCTGACAAAAATGTATAATGGTGTGACATTGCTGACTTGAGTTTTGTGTCAGTTTAGCAGTTTGGATTGTTAAGAGTTAAACCCTAGTGAGGAGATATCTCTCCCTTATCCAAAGGGTAATGGGGGCAAAAATAATCCCGTGCTCAGCGTGATGCCTCAGGGAGACCGTTTCAGTGCTAGTTCAATTTCTGCTCGTATTATGAAACATAACACAGTTACGCAAGTGGACTCATTTATTGTCTGTGAAAGATGAATCCTCACAGTGAATTCCTGTGGGAAGAAACATGAGCCATTGTTATCATTTCCATAAACAATGTCAAAGGTAGTAATTCAACGTCCTCCATTTTCAAATTTGTATTAACCCATTTTTCCAATTATTAATCCCATAACTGGTTAATAATGTTTATTAAGTAAGCTTTAAGGGCTGCAGGTAATTATCATTTTCATTATCAATGAATCTTTTTGCATTTTTGAAGAATGATTTATTGGAATAGTTGATGATAATTGTGCCAAGAAATGTTGAGCACATCTTTTGTAAATGCCATTATAAAAACACAACTAAAAGGAATGTGGCTAAAGCTGCATTGGCACACACTATGATTCATTGGTATGCCACTGCTGTAGCTACCAGCTACTGTCATACTCACCTGGTGTTCTACACAGCATTATGCCACAATAATTCATCAATAATATGACACTGTTTTATCATGATAGGTACCAGCTTTCTGGTACAAAACATTAGGAAATACATGTATTTATGATTTATTACTGATATAGCCTTTGTTGACATCTCAACCTAAATTTTGGATGTTGACAGAGGGCATCCTCCTCAACCTTGTAATTTCCACATGCTAATACTCTCCGTCTGAGTGTACATGTGAGATTCATCAATTGAAGCAAACCTAGGCATGAATCTGCTATGATGTAATTGTTGCACCACCAAGCATTTCACACTGCATATTGAAATGAAATGTATATTGACTGAAATCACAGCACATGAAAAAACGATTATACAGAAATATGACACAACTCTGGTCATGCTGTGGTGGACTTTATGAACCTTTTAAGTTAACACTCCAAACCGAATATGAGGCAGTCACCATGAAAGTGCCTCCCAGCCGCATTCCCTCCTCCTGCCCAGTTTCCTCTCTGCTCACTGAATGAGTAACAGCAGCTGTCTAGCTCCTCTTGCTCACTAGTGGGCTGCATCTGGTGGGTTCCGTGTGTGGAGAACGTTATGCTGTTATGATCATCCACAGCCGGTCTGTTGCAGTGCGGTGCCCCAAATTACCCACAATCAAAGTGCCATTGAACTGGACACAGTGCCACCTCAGTTCCAGTGGAAGAGCAGTACCATTAGCCCTGATTGCCAAATGGAAGAAAAAATGGTTGTGGTGACGTGCCACCTCTTATGCCAGTGGTTCTCAAATGGGGGTACGCGGACCCCTAGGGGTACGTTGGAGTACTGCAGGGGGTACGTGAGATTTATTTTATGCTAATGAAAAAACACCATAAGTAATGCATTTAAACAAACTACTAATAGTAGATTAACTACTTTATTCAAAGGTTTACAGTAATTCTGGATAATAAAATGGGAAAAATAAACGGGGTGCTCTCTTTTCTTCTCCCTCTCCTGACAGCCCGTCAGTCTCGTGCAGCTCGCTGAACCTGTAATAAGTGACCCGACAGTAAAGAATACACATATTTATAACTAGTATAGCTAGTTCCAGAGTAGAAACTAGCGTGTTAGGTCTAACTCTTAGTGTATTTAATTTTGCTCCACTCAACGGTCCGTGGCGGAGCTGTGATCATGCAGAGCTGCGTGTTCTCCGTCAGCAGCAGCTAATCTGATCTCTGATCTCTCTCTCGCGTCCGGTTATACTTCACTCGTGTTTATGTCCAAATCTATCAGATCTAGCTAGTTCTAGCTAATGATATGACTG